AACCTCTTCTATAGAAGAGGTTCCACAAATCTACAGTGCCGTTTAGAACTGGTTCCAGTTCCCTCCCCCTGAGTGTCCGCACATCATCAAGATGAAGAGCGAGAGGAGGAATTCTGGGAGTTGAAGTCCACAAGTCTTAAAGCTGTCAAGTTTGAACACTCCTGGGTTTTTTCTAAAGGGTTAGGGATGCAAGGGGCTTCAAACTTGACAGCTTTAAGACTTGTGGACTTCAACTCCCAGAATTCCTCCTCTCGCTCTTCATCTTGATGATGTGCGGACAGGCAGGGGGAGGGAACTGGAACCAGTTCTAAACGGCAGATTTGTGGAACCTCTTCTATAGAAGAGGTTAGAACTGGCAGGAACCCACCCTGGTGAGAATTAACAAAAAGTTTTGCAGGAGCAAAATAGACTAAACAATCATTAATCCCTACCAGACAGAAGAATACAATGACAATTAATCAACATTTTAAAACCAATAGATACAGATTTGGTGTTTTCATTAATATAAAAATTAACCTATGTATAACAGTACAGATATTGGTTTCCATGACTAGATTCTCTGTATCTAAAACAAGGGCAAAGTAACTATGGCATACATTTTTAAGAGTCTGATATGAGACAGCATTCATCTTCAACAAGAAGATATTTACAACAGAGACATTGCTTTAATGGATAACAACTGCTATCTGTAATACTGGATTGAATTTGATATTCAACAAACTGGTTGCTTACTTGAAGAACATTTTCTGACCCTCCTTCATCTGATACCTGCAACAGTCACCTGCTGCTGCTTGCGAATTTTGTTGAAAAGTTCCATGTATTGAACTATTGTATCAGCTGGATTGTAGATGCTGTCATGCTTATTATTGAACACAGAAGGGATACCGGGGGCATGATTTCCCATAAAGCTCTGCATGAATTCCATTACAAGGTTCCAACAGTCAGTGGCTACCACACATGGACAGTAGTCCACCTGACAACAATAAAAAATATTATAAATCAATCATAATTAGCTCCATAGATAACAACAATTAGAAAACTTGAAGGAAAAGGGAATTTTCACACAGATGTTCTCAAATCTAGTTATGTTTGAATTTGGGGATCTTTTATTGCTGTTTTGTGACAAAACAAATATAAAGCTTTCTTGCATATAAGATTCAAAATATTTAATATGCATCTTATAAAATGATTCATAGCAAGTAAGTTTTTAAAAAATTCAACAAAATTATAATAAAAAACAAAAGTCCTTTCATATACTTTCATTCCTTGCCACAGACCTATACTATCTCTTTACCTGTATCTTAAAATATCTCCATCCATTTCCTACTTTTTTTTACTAAGCATTCCAACAATACCTGTACTCACTACAAACTATTTAGTTGTTAACTAACAACACGGCATTGTTTGTAATTGAAAGAGCATGCATATTCAAAATCCCAGTCAATATGTTTCTAATGTTATCATAAGCATTGCTTATACTTTCATCCCTAAACATATGACCAAGAGGATATAACACATCTTTTAATTTCTGTGAATCATTCACAGCTATTCACTTAATAAATTATTAGACTGATTGGCAATACTGACTTAGCAACTACATAGATAGATTTTTTTTAGAATAGTCTATCCCCAACCTGGTCCTTCAGGTCTTCCAATGTTTTACCCATAGCTGCTGTAATTGAATGTATCCAACTTGGTGCTGGTCATTCTCTTCTTTTTCCTTACATCTTTCCCTGAATTATACTGTAGTCTTCTCTACAGAGCTAGGTCTTCACATAATTTGTCTAAAGTGTGATAATTTCTAAAACACCCCTGCCATCATTCAATTGGCCGAGGTGGCGCAGTGGTTAAATGCAGCACTGCAGGCTACTTCAGCTGACTGCAGTTCTGCAGTTCGGCTGTTCAAATCTCACCGGCTCAGGGTAGACTCAGCCTTCCATCCTTCCGAGGTGGGTAAAATGAGGACCCGGATTGTTGTTGGGGGCAACATGCTCACTCTGTAAACCGCTTAGAGAGGGCTGACAGCCCTATGAAGCGGTATATAAGTCTAACTGCTATTGCTATTCTCTCACTTGGCTTCATCTGAAATAATTTCATCATTTTTATTTTTAGATCCATCCAGTCTGGAGGCTCTTTCTTTAATCTTCTCTCCCACATCCAAAATGATGTTGCTCTTTGTTTTTTGTGATATTTAAGATCTTAATTGTTTCTTAATCTTTGACCACATCCTTTGCTGTTATTTTTTTTATCTAGAACACTACAATATATTTCCATCAACCATTCTCACTCTTCCTGCATTCTATTCTGCTTTCACTCAGTTATTCCCCTTTTTCCCTCTATGTCCATCTTTTCCCAAGATCCACTCTTGATGTCATGAAAATAATAATTTGTCCTATAGTCAGAGCCTCTCATCACCTTTGTATCCTTCAGTTATTATTTCAGTCTTTCAGTATAAACAAGAGCCCATGTTTTTCAATCCATTCCTTTTCTTTCTGTATGTATGAATAGACTTAAATCATGTATTTGATAAAGACCTTTTTATGAGCAAAAACTTATTAAGCATGTCTGCTCATTCTTGGATATTCAAATAGGCTAGTATTTTTTGTGTAGCATTTCATCTTATTTTTTTACCCATCCAATCAAGTCAGTGAAATAATCCTGGATTCCGTCCATTTGGAATGTTGCAATTCCCCCCCCCCCAAAAAAAATCATTTCTAGTTCTTGCATTATTACCCTTCAACTATCAGCAAATTTCTATTTTCATATGCATCCAGAACTGCTGGGTGGGCTGGGGAATTCTGGGAGTTGAAATCGACAAGTCTTAAAATTGCCAAGGTTGGACACTCCTGATCTTGATGATTGAAAATCATGTTTTAGCTCCAACCCTGTTATTTATTTACTTTTATTTATTTATATTCTACTCCCCAAGATCAGAGCAATTTCATCCGTATTTATATCATTCTTCCACTTTCTCTTATTCTAGTGGTGACTTTTATCAAGTCAGGCTCTTATATAATATTTTATAGTGAATAAGAGGAACACGTTACCAGCTTTAATCATATCCATGCTACATTAAGCATTCCCTGATAATCCTAAAGCACAGATGTCAGTTTTGAATATTTTAGCCAGTTTGCTACAAGACAAAAAAACCTCCAGTTTTATCCCAAGATTATTCATGCTGTTCTAGACAAGATAGGTTTCCTATTCTAAAGATGTAGCCAACATACTATGGTCACCTTTCACTAACTAAACTATATGTGCAGCAGGATGAAGCATTCAGCATATTCTCTCAAATAAAATGCTCCTATTATTCTAAATATTAATCATGTTATTTATTTATTTATTTATTTATTCATTCATTTATTTCAGCCAACCCTTACCTCAACAGATATTCCACGGGCGCTGGGCCCCATGGTGACTGTGCCGACCTTCACCAAAAAATCACAGTACTGGTATCGAGTGCCTCGGCTCTCTATTTTGTTCCCTTTAGCATTTTGAAAAAAACCTTTCAATTTCACCATAAGAATGTCAAAGTTGGTATCTGCTATGAGGCATGGGCCGTTTTCAAAGAGAGCAAAACAGCTGAGGGGATATTCTGAATTGTGCATCACATACATCAGTTTGGCAGCCTGTCCTGAAACAATAGCAAAACAAAAGAAAAATATTTCTTTTTTCTCAGAAATGCTAGAGGAACATTTACACCTTATCTAACATAGAATCTTCAAGTATCAACTGAGTTACTTTACTCAATTTAGAAAATTATTGCTCTGATCAGTACTATTTTGCATGGAAGTGTTTTTTTTTTCTTTTGACATTCTAATGCACCGGTTCCCAACCTTTCCAGCTTTGGGAAACCAACAGGAGCGGGTAGGGAGATGGCAAGCATGCTGGCATGCACAGCTGCATTTGTGTAAGTGGTGGACACACTCACTTACCACTCACGTAAGTGGAGCTGTGTGCACTTGCACTCTCACCTCCTGCTTGTGCAGCCTGAAACCCAGGAGTTGGTGACCACTTGTTCTAATGGACATACTTTAAGGTACCATACTTTAATGGAAAATGAAAGGGATCATTCTTACACAGAACCTTAATCAATATGTGCAAAGCTTAACAATACAACCCAGGAAAGGAAGGTATCTTAGCAAAACATGGAAGAGACTTCACGCAGTAAGGATTTACTTCCAGATAATGGATTTTAGCCTTAAATGTGAAGGATGTATCTTTCAAACAAGCATAGAGCTTGCTTCCAGATGACTTGAAAGAAAAGGGATTTTCTCTGCTGTGAATCTTTAGGCCTAAGCAAAATTAATTTTCAGAGGCAGCAGTACATTCTGTGGACAGCTTACATAAACAAAAGTTTAAATAGAATATTTGGTCCTGACATATGAATTTCCTTAAAGCTAGCATGTGGAATAGGTAAAATACTATCTGCCTATCTTTTCTAATATAGATCAGGAGAACACTCCCTAAATAAGTGTTGTTAATACTACAGTGTTTTAAACCTTATAAAAGGTTAATTCTGTATGCTCTACTGAGCATATTTTAAAACAAAATGGTACCAAAAAGGGAAGCATATTTATCTATATAAAAAACAGAATGAAAATGCATAAGCAGTTCTGAAAAGCATTAAAATAGCATTCTACCTATAAGGGGACAAGTTCAATCCTGCTTTGTCCAAAAATCCTATTTAAAGAATTCCCAACAGCTTACTTAGATTCTTCTTCAATGCTTCTAGAGTGGAACTGATAACTGATTCCACTGTTACTCTTACCATTTGGATTATTTCCTAATATCCAAAATAATTTGACTTTTTGTAACTTAAGATTTCATTTTTTCCATTCTAACATTATCATGGCCTACTTCTCTGAGACATCACTTCAGATATTTGAAGAGCAGTATTATACCTCCCTCCTCAGTCACTGTTTCCCAAGGAATATTTAATCAGCTACTTTAGTCTCTCCTTGTAGGATTTACTTTCCAGACAGTTATCCTTACTGTTTTTCTTTAGGAAGGATTCTATCAAACAGAAATGTGCAAAATACGGCTCTTGTAACTGGTTATGTAAGACAAGAGTTTACTGACCAATATAAAATAGAATGGAGCTATTCTTTCCAATCATTAGGAAACTATACTTCTAGTGACGGAACTCAAAACTGAAACTGAATTTTCAGCCACATCTTGCTGCTGTTTGTGATCAATTACATTTCCAAGCTATATAGTAAATAATTCTTTCTAGCAACCAGGTAAGAAAGCTTGATATTGACCAGGTGCATTTGAGCACAAAAGAATATTTTTGCACTTGGGAAAAATGCAGCATTGCTGTAAGATATCACGATTGCTGTTAAACTATTAGCTTTTCCTATTGCATAAGAGTTAATAGTATGTCATCTTCATATGACTGTGGTAAGACAAATAAACAACTAAAGCACAGAAACTTTCATGCTTCAGTAAAGTATCCAAATTAATGAAACAGCCAACAAGACATTGTGCAATAAAATATTTTATATAGACAAGGTACTAGGTTTCCAACATGCTTCTTTATAACCTTATTAGTTCATGATTAGTATATGAAGTTAAGATTAATGACGATATTTATGTCCAAAAGTTACTCTTTGCATGATAAAAGTTACTTTACAGAAAAAGTTGGCTATAAAGTTACTTGCTGAGATGGATTTAAATGTCACCATGTTCCAATTAAAGAATAGAAATGTACTGGAAGGATCTGAATATACCAATTTTTGAAGACAAAAAAAAAACAAAACCCTCACCTTGACTGCCCATTGTGGAGGCTGCAGTGTGGTAGGTTTCACAATCCACACAAAATGTTCCTTGTTTTTCTGCACCAAGTAGCTCCAGTTTTCTTGTTAAGATTTCAACTGTTTGCTGAACACTTTTTCCCTCTGCTACTGGCATCTGAGATACACTAGCACAAGAAATATGACTTTTTAACTATGAAACCATCATTTTAACTAGGAATACATACTCTCCCAAAAACCTATTTTTAAAGCTATGGGAGACAAGACACACAAATAAGTGTAAGAAATGGAGCATCCTTACTCTGCATCAAATCAAAGACCGCTTCTATATCGCAATAACACTTTCACTAAGCATTGTCTGGTATTAATTATAGGCAAGATGTTCTATGTCCAATAACAGACAAATCAGGATTGACTTAGCTGTTAGCAGACATTTTTGCCTGTATTCGCAGTGACCATCCAATAACATTTTCTGGTTTTACACTATAGTAAAAAGCCACAGTTGCCCAAATGTGTCCAAAATCACTGTTACACTTTTTGTGTCCTTGTTATCTCCTTTCCAGTGAGAATGAATTGAGGTACAGGAAGAAAACATAGTTTGCCTAGAGAGATGTCACCTAGAGACTTTACTTGAAGTCCCAACTTTAGATTAATTTCCCACCCATGTCCTCTTGATCCTGAGGAGTCAAAATTAAAGTACAAGGTAAGCCATATATTGACCTGTGATCCCCTCAGATAATACATTAGGACTCAGAGCAAACTGGCAAAGACAGCATATGACTGAAGTCTTTGTCTCCGTATTTTTAAGCTGTCAATATTTTCCTGTTAAACATAAATGACATCTAAAGCATAGTCTCATACTCATGGAATCTGTCGCTGCCCAAATACTTTTCTAAGAAAATAAAGATAAAAATTCTGTTTGGGCCAAACAAAATTGAAAACAGTGAAACCTACAATCCAATAAAGTCAATTGACTAATACATTACTACACAAAAACATTTTTGGAGCTGACATTAAACATGCTCCTTTCCCAAGTATATTATTAGTTTTATATTTTACTTTTGAGCAACAGCCTACATAAAATTTAAATAAAAATATTTTTCTAACAGCATTTTAGATTCAGAGTACTTAATAAAAATATATCAAGCAAATTTGTAGCACAAAAGACTTATTTCTCTCTGCAAATGCTGCAACTCCAAGGAATGATTCAGATATAAAACTTTGATTTGATAGAATTGTGAATCTACATCTGATCTTATTCTATTTCTGGAGATGTAAACACTCATGGGGAAATATCCAGAACATTTAGGAAATCCACCACTACCACAATTGAACACCTTTTTAAACAGATTAACAGAGTTGGAAGGAACCTGATAGGTCATCTAGTCCAACTCTCTGACCAAGCAGGAGACCCTACACCATTTCTGACAGATGGCAGTCCATTTTATCTATTTCCTGCCTTTATTACGTTTATTAATTATTCAAAGTTGTGAACATAGTTCTTCCTTCTCCTACTTTCCTTCAGAATTACAAGCTTGTGAGGTGAACTGGGCTGACAGACAGATTGGCTGAGGATGTAACCATGGGCTACCTAACCGTTGCTTCAAATAAAAGCAGCAGCAGCCATCAAAACATCACAAAACCACGGAAAAATGAAGCTCTTGGGGATTATTATTTTTTCATGTTAGCTGGCCTCTTTTCGAGGTCTGTGACAACCTGGCGCCTCCGGCTGTGTTGGACAACGATCCCCACCTTCTATAATCGAGCAGACTGAAGGCAGTAGTCCAGGCAGAGCATCTTGCCAGGTGGCTGGTTATAAATATTTCCTTGACAGCAAGAGGATAAAGAAATCAGAAATACCACCATCATCACTCATACGAAAAGTCTCTTTAAAGCGTCTGCGGCTACCCAGACTGTTCTATGGCCTCTCTCGTTGCTTGCGATTGGCAGCGTTTAAGATACAAACCTATTACAGTCCCAGAATTTCTTCTGTTAGGCGCCAACCTCGTTCTGGCACATTCAGCCGCAGTTTAAGCGCTCTACATTATCAGCTTCGTAACATCAACAAAATATCCTACCAGGTGACGCCCATGCTTGCCACAACCTCGGCGCGCGATGGGGGTCGGCTTTTGCAGCAAGGGCGCCCACAACCCCGGGTTGCTTCCTCTTGGATTGCTAACCGTGCATCGAACTCCCAGCCAGACCCGCCTTCCTTGCTCTCGCTTCCAACAGAAGAAACTAGGACGGAAGTGACGTAGCCCAGGTGTCCCCAAACTTGGCAACTTTAAGACTTGTGGACTTCAACTCCCAGAATTCTCCAGCCAGCATAGCTCTGACGTAGGCGAACGACTACTGGGGCGCTCGTGGCGTTGGGAGGGGCGTCTCTTGCTGAATAAACCTTGCTTATTATTCCCTTTGTGGTGTTTAGGGAGAATTAATCCCACTTAACTCTGCAAGAAGCACACCCCGATATGAATGCGCGCGTAAATAAAGGAGATCGTTTGCGATAATAGCACATTAACCAAAGTGGTGCTTTTTACATGTGCCTCAGTGCACCAGCTGCCTCCAAATTTGTGGCGTGCGCGTATCGTTTTTAATGGAGGCGAGAGGAATGCAAATTTTGAAGTAGGCGAAGGAGGTTTGTTCTCCCATGCGTTGCTGAATTATCACTCCTAGCATTGCTCAGTTTGATTATTTTAAGTTGGCTCTTTATCTGAAGACCGGTAGATTCCCATTTCGCCTCTAACGGGCAGATTAATCTTACTTTCATTTAGATGTCGCTTTTCCTGTTTTAACTATAGAAGAGAATATCTGTAGGTCAGGGTTGAACTGGGGTCCTCTCTTGAATTTAGTTCCGCCCTTTGCAGACGTTTCACTACCCAACTAGGTAACATCATCAGTGTTGGAAGGGAGTGGCGTTTGAACTACATGTAAGGCAATTACGACCACACGACTGTAATCTAAGGATTCCGCAAAAGACAATCTGAACGATTTGTGTCTTGAATGAAGTGAGCACGGCTATAAGGAGGTGGAGAAAGGGCATTGCTCCCGCCTCTCGTCAAAATGGACGGTCCCAAATATAAACTTATAATTTTAGATTGAGTCAAAAGGCTGCTTTCAGTGGGGGCGACAGTAACGATCAATAGTGCTGAATTGATTAAATGTAAGTCTGCGTGCTCTCAATTCGCAATAAAAACACACCGTAGGGGCGTGCATAAGCGCATCAGCGTGCCTGATGTCTCTGTCCTACTGTCCCCATTTATTTGTGCCCATTTCCCGTGTTCTTATTCATGTTTATTCTTATTCCTGTTATCTTGTACATGAGTGGCAAACTAAAATAAATAAATAGATAGATAGATAGATAGATAGATAGATAGATAGATAGATAGATAGATAGATAGATAGATAGATAGATAGATAGATAGATAGATAGATAGATAGATAGATAGAGTTTCAGGCAGCTTCACCGTAAACCCTCGACAGACAAAGATTACACGAAAGGCCACTGGTTCTGTCCAGCCGCACTCCTCCTCCTCCCTGAGAACCGTGCATGGCGCTGTTCAAGTTCAAATTCAAATTCAAACCTTTATTGTCAGAGTACATGTGTACAATGAGATTGGCTGAGCCTCCTTTCCTGCACCCCCACCCACCCAATATAACTCACAGTGAAAGACAGAAAATCCCTAACCCAGCTGTTCTCAAAAGGATCAGGCGAAGATAACAACAACAACAACAAAAACAGCTCCAGAGGGGGCGGGGGGAGCATGAAATTGCCACTTATGCCTCTGAGGCAGGTTTTAAAAAGTCTGCAGGATCTCCGGAGTCACCGCTACTTTCAGCCGTAGCTCCGCACCCGGGTGACGCGCATTGAACGCATGCGCGTGTGGGCAGCCATCTTTCCTCCCGTTGCTCCGTGCTCCATCGGCGGGGAAACATGCCCAAGGCGAAGCGGTCGAGAGGCTCCTCCGGTGGGGCGACGGCGACGAGCGTCCCCTTGGCCGAGCAGATTGCTCAGAGCGATTCCGTGAAGCCCATCACGAGGGTCAAGCGTCGGGACCAGGCAGGGAAGCATGGTGGGGGAGAAGAGGACGACGAGTATGTGGACGAGAAGCTTTCCCGGCGGATCTTGCGGCAGGCCCGCATCCAGCAAGACGAGCTGGAGGCCGAGCATGGCGTCGGCAGTGGGCACGAGCCCAGGAAGAAGACAACAGTCCTGGGTGAGTGTCTGGCAAGCTTGTGGCTGGAAAGACGGGACAAAGTATTTTCTTGCTTCGGAAAGACACGTGTTTTTCTTAAAAAAGTTTTTGCTGCAGTTTACCCGAAAATTATAAAAGAATTAAACTCAATGTGCAATAAATGTGGGGGTGGGGGTAACCCATAGGATTTACACAAGGGAATGCCAGGCTGAACGCATAAGATTTTTAGGAGGCGTCTTAAAAGGTATAATGGCATAGGTTTCCGGGATTTCAGAATGCCATCGTGAGAGTCACTACAGAGAAAGGCCACTTATGAGAAATTGCAAGATATAAATCTCTCAATTGCAGGAGACGCCGACCTCACCAAGAATATGAGAAGCTGTGAGATATCAAGCAGGAGTTTGAATAGCCTTCTTCAGGGAGATTAAAAACTGCCTAAATTCTAAAATGCCTGAACCCAGACTAAAAAAAACCATTTTCCTTCATACAAACTATCAGTAGAGGGAGGCTGGACTTAAACTTCTGACATAAATCCTGGGTTGTTTTCATTTTTTTAGTAGAAGAAAGGATGATTAGCTTTGCAGTCAATAATGGAAATATGAAATATTTCTGGCTTCTGTTACCTAGAGCTCTTATTTTCTTTATCCAGGATAGTGAAATAAAATTTGATGTAACATTTTTTTTTTTTTAATGATTCAAACAGAACTTTTTTATTTTTCTTTAAAAAAACACAAATATGTCATTTGTTAATCATTAAAACATTGAAGTACAATTTTTTTTTTG